GGCTGAAAATACTTTTATAAATTTATTTAATATTGCCAAGTTTTTCTGTTGTTGAAAATGCCTGATGTTTGCTATATCGAGAGCTATAAAAAATCTGAAATGATTTTTGATGTCCTTGTAAATCTTTGAGATTTTAGACCTGTCTCCTGAAATTATGTTCCTTCTTTGAAAACATTTGCATTGTTTCAGATAAAGTACAGTTGTTTGTAACATGGAAACTGGACATGAGATACTACTTTGCAGTAGTTACTAATCTGCTGATGAATGATTCTTGTAGAGATTGGAAGGGAATGGTGTAGGCTGCAAACTGAATATAATGAGTTTCAAAAATGTAAGCAATTTAAAATACTGCTTGGATGTGAATTAAAATGTTCAGAAGCCACACAGTTTCTCAATCTTGATCCTTTTTAGCCATCCATAATGCTGTCATGGCAGAAGTGTTTCCTAGAGTTTCTGGACTGCAAAAAAACTAGGATAACTGTGTAGATGAAACACCAATGCTTATAAATTGCAAAGGGTGTACTCTGACTGTGGTTTTGATTGGCTTGCAGAGGAGTGTTTGGTTTGCAGGCTCAAATACAGTGCCTGTATTTGAGCAGCAAGCTTGTCCCAGCTGTATTGTGAGATTCATGAGTAGTGTAGCATCCGTTCACTGAGACTTAAGGTCATGCATTTTGCCTTGTATTTTGCTGTAAGATGGGAACAAGCACATAGCTTAGGAGTCTTAGCTGATGGGCATCAACTTATTAAGTCAAGTTTTGTTTGTATGTCTGTGTTTTGAGGCATTTCATTGGGAATGTGTGCCACCTAAATGATAACTCTAAAGAGTGAGACTTTTCAGTTGAGAAATTGTGATTGTGAGATAAACTTGTCATAGAAAAGAGATCAGAAGGTACTGAAAAAACCCTGCATATGTTAATGAGGGTTTGGAAGTCCCAGAATTTTGTGAGTTTTTTTCCAAAATAAGTGCACCCACCCTAAAATTGTACTAAATCAGGTTTTAGAAAGGCAGCTGTCACCCAGCATATCTTGCTATACAAATGGGCTCTACCATGTTGGAGGTTAGCGTCTCAAGACCTTTTATTAGGGTATAGATACATACCTTCTTATCTCACTGGTAACAGAAGTAGTAGTGTCTGCCTCTTTCTTCAGTTTAACAGTCTGTCCATTTTCTGTGGTCTTCAAAGGTTCACGTGGTGGCTTCTATTTGTTTGGGTCAAAGTAGCCCTTTTTAGCAGAGACCAGCAACTTTGCATTTTAAGCTCACTTGCCATTCTTTGCGAGTGAAAAGCAGGATGACTGCTTGGGGCAAATGATGGATAATCATGCATTTACCCACTCAGTTCTATCATGTGCTTCTTCGAGCTGTTTTTGAGAGAAACTTGAGGCTTTTTGAGTTTGACAGATGCGGTGTAAGGGGTCAAGTTCATTCCCAGTTGATTAGAATTCACATTGCGAAAATTCCTTTATGTTTTGTCTGAGTGCTGTGATGTTTGATGTATAATGTTATAGGTGTACCGTGTTCCATTTTGGAGAGTTTTGTTTTGCAGAGGAAAAACAAAGGAAGCTGGAACGGAGTGAAAGAACAGGACTTGTTCAAGTTACATCTGTTTTTATTGTGTGATACGCCAACTCAGGAGTCTTTATGTAATAGAACCAAAGAATACCCACATGTTATATGATGACCTAAAAAATTGTTCCCCAGGCACTGATAAAATGGTTGTTTTATGATGAGAAGGTTCATAGTATTAGATAAGCATGAAATCTCCCTTTCCTGGCTTTTAATATTAGTACTTCAAAGGACTATATAGCTATCTGCCATTTCTGCACTGTCATAGGCATCCACTGGGAAGGACAACAAATGGACCAACTTGTTATTTGTTAAGGTATTTCTGTCTGATCCAAGCATCTGCCTTCTGTGTGTATGTGAGGTTGGTTCATTGTCCACAGGCAACTGTGAGTGTAACCTGCTAATACTATTTTGGGACCAGGATGGTACTATTACTGCAAAGAGAAGAGAGTTCATCTCAACTGTGTGCAGATTTGGGCATCACTTGGTCTGTTCAGCCTGGAGAAGAGGAGACTGAGGGGTCATCGCAGTTACAACTTCCTCATGAGAAGAAGTGGAGGGGCGGACACCAACTTCTCTCTGGTGACCAGTGACAGGACCCAAGGGAATGAAGCTGTGTTGGGGGAGGTTTAGGCTGGATATTAGGAAAAGATTCTTCACCCAGAGGGTGGTTGGACACTGGAACAGGCTCCCCAGGAAAGTGGTCACAGCACCAAGCCTGACAGAGTTCAAGAAGCGTTTGGACAACGTTCTCAGGCATACGGTGTGATACTTGGGGCTGGCCTGTGCAGTGCTAGGAGTTGAACATGATGATCCTTGGGGGTCCCTTTCAACTAAGGACACTATGATTTAAAAAAAAACTTTGATTACTTCTTAATCACTCTCTAAGTAATATCTCTGTAACATGTCTTTTTTTCCTTTATTCCTCTTCGCGTTCATGAATTATTTCTTTGGAAAATAAATTAATTGTGTGCATTAATGTCTTTTGTGTTACTGTTTTCAGCACATCATAGTGAATAAATATTATATCCTCAGCCTAGTAGGCATTAATGACCATTAACCTGATTGTTAACTAATGGGTCTCACATGGAATGCTGAATGCATGCTCACTCCAAAATGGCAGAATCTGGCTCTCCTTTTTACTGTAATAAAGCTGCTTCTGTTTGCAACACTGTGTTGCTGGGAAACTGCAGCTAATTTTTATGGCGCATGTCAGTAGTACTGATTCAAATTATACATTTCATTGAGCAGCTCTTCTTTTTGTTTGTAAACTGCCTTCTATAAGGGGAGAGAATTTTTTTGTTGTTGTTCTGTGGACAGCGGTATCTATACCAGAGAATATGACTGAATCTGGAACAAAGGCTCAGATTGTTCTGTTGATAACATCGTTGTACTTCCAAAGTTACTCTAGGGGGGATGGTGGCCTGGTTAAATTTACACCAGTTTGATAGTCAAGTCTAATGCAGGTATTCAGGAGAATTCCAGGTGAGGTATACGCATCTCCTCAAACTGCTGTTTTTCTGTTTCAGATTCCATGGTGCAAAACTTCAGCATGTGGCGTGACTTTAAAGCGAAACAACAAAATAGACTGAGAGATTATGAATTGGAAAATTATGTCGTTTTGGTTCACAACACAGAGACGGTGGCAATTTTGGGATTGTGTAGAATATGCACTCCTTTTTAAAATGATTGTTGCACAGCTTGCATGTGGATCAGGACATGCATGCAATTACATGGGCAAAAAGTGGGTGTAATTGGGCATGCACCTGAACAGGAAAATACATGTGTAAGGTGGAATCTGACTAATAAGTAAAAAATCTTTTGCTTGCTGAATCTATTCCTTTTCTGGCTAAAGGAGATGGTAGTCCATTTTGTGATGTTTACAGTCTGCTTAGGTTTGTAGCAGTGTCTTGTTTTTACTCTTGCTTGAGATGCCTCTATGAAATGGGAGGAGTGTGTGTCTGAAGCCTGCTTGCTTAAACACGCGAGTCATGTCAGCTGCAATGCGGCAGTGCTTGGTGCTAATGAGGTGAGCAGCCAGAGCACCCGTCTGCTTATGTTTGCTCATCTCTGTGCAATTATGGCTGTGGGGATTGGAAAAAGGAATTTGAATTGGATGTGCCTCTGTTTTGGCCTTTCCAGGGTGTGGTTCTGTGTCCTCCTGAGGACTGGGCAGCATATATCTACTTCCTTTTTAGGAGTTAGGTGATTGCTTCATTTTGTTTAAGGCAAGCTCTAAATACATCCTGGTTGGGAGAAGAAAAGAAAAAGAGGAAGTAGAGAGAGGGGAACACCCTCCCTTCTTTCACCCCCCATCTCTCACTATTCAAATGCACTTTCAAATGAAATAAATTCCTTGTCAATCTGTGTCTTCAGGTTGAATACATACAAGTCTGTATTTGTAAAGTAACATCTTTGGAATAGAGTAATCAGGTTAATCAGTTAATTTTGGCTAGATCTCAGTAGTTACAGCTGGCCTTTGGTAGGCACAGAAATGCAGATGCACTGTGATTTCTCAGCCCACCTGCTTTCTCTTTTTTAGCTGTTAAAGTGCTGACTACACTGTGAGCTCTGTATTTGATGCTGAAGTCATAAAGTTCTACTTTGAACATAAAGCGAGTAATGTGAATATCAAATCCTGTTGGTCTTTTCTCGTCCTCATATGCCAGACTGTCTTCATTGAGCTTGATGCCTCCCATCCAATCCTGTTGTATTCCTATTCCTGCTGCCTGTCTTTCAGTGTTTCTTTTTCAGAGAATTAGTCTATAAAACTGTAGGTCATGATTAATACATTGGTCTTGGTGGCAAAGCTGGCTTTCCTTCTAGTTCCTGCCTTTATGTGACAGGGTGCTTCCCTGTTAGCTGATAAGTTTGAATACTTATAAATCACATTGTTGAAATTACCTATGTTAAAAATAATGGGGGTTTTTTGTGTTTTTTTAAGGATCGTATCTAATCTCTGTTACTTTGGCAATATGTTTGTAATGTTATACCACAAACAGAGGGATCAATACAGCTGGGACTGGGAAAGCTATGAACTGCATCATGTAGGCAAGAACCAGTGGTGGGAGGCAGGAACCTCCTGAGCTGTTAATACAACTGATGTGAATGTAGTGTAGAGCTAACACCCATAGAAAGGATGGCGTGTCAGCCTAGAAAAAGTGTTCTTCACCCTGGAAAGAAGCCCAAGATTGTGTGCCCTAAATAAAGTTGTTTTTGCTTAGTCCTACCTTTAAGTGGGTTAAGAGTGACATGTATGAAACAGCACAACTGACAAGATGCATGGTAGGGAGAGTTGCTCTGTTTCAACACTCACTGTTGAAGTCTAGTATCTCTGTTGTGATCACAGATAGTGCAGTATTTCTTTGCCTGTTTACCTTTTGCTGATGGGATGGTAAAAAACTGGGATGTTTTTCTCTTCTGTCTTTAGGTCTCCGGGTGAAAGGGGAGCTTGTTACTTCTTACCCACAAGTGGTGGTTGTGCGTGTGCCAACACCTTGGGTCCAGAGTGACAGCGATATCACAGTCCTTCGCCACCTAGAGAAGATGGGCTGTCGACTGATGAATCGCCCCCAAGCCATCCTCAACTGTGTCAACAAGTTCTGGACGTTTCAAGAACTTGCTGGTCATGGTGTGCCTCTTCCAGACACTTTTTCGTATGGTAAGGCTTTTGGATCAAAAGGATAGCATAGTTGCTTACCACTGTTTACGCTTTTGCAGTACAAAGGATGTGAGTCAAGTTTTGGAAATCCATAGAAGTTCGGTAGCATGAGGCTAGTTCCACAGCTAAGTGCTCAGTAACCAGGAGAGGAAATTAAAGTTGCGACACTCAGGTTCTGGTTTTGGCTTTGTTTATTAGCTGGTAATGCTTTGAGAAGAGTACTTTAACTGTACCTCAGCCTTCCAAGCAACTAACTTTGGCTGTTACTGCTAAAACATTTTTAACTCTTTTCCAATTTCCAGAAACAACAGACAAGAACTTGGGGAACTAAATGTCCTAAGATACTACAGAGATCTAGCCTTTGTTAAAATCTGAAAGTAGATTAAACTTCTGTATGAATAAAAGTATCTGCAAATATATTAGCTTTTGTGGAAAGAGTACAAGCCCTTGTGTTCAGCTTTTAACAGTTGTTTGGGGTTTGTTTCCCATCAAAACAGCTAATTATTGTTTCTTGTGCCTGCCTCTCGAGTCTGTGGTTCCTGACAGAGTGCTAGATTAGAGGAACCATTTGTCTGAGCTACCCTGAAGCTCTTAATTCCAATCTATTAAAGAACTGAAGATACCTCTCAACCTTCCTTTCTTTCTTGAGAAATGCCAGTGCTTTCCTCCCCTTCGTGTTGTTGCACCAATAGGCTTTCGTAATGGGAATTTGGCAAAAACAGAAACAAACTTGACAAACAAAACCCATGGTTTTCTATTAATTACTATAAATTACTATTTCCATCACTTACTGTGAAAACACATCAGAGAAGAAACGCACCCTTTCTTTATACATGTAGTTGCTCTAACTCATTGAGAAAGGAATGAGTTTTTAATTTTTTTAGGGGAAGGGAAGACCAAGAATGATGGGATAATTGCAGAACATATCTGTTTGTTCATAACTCTCTGCCACTACTTTTAATGCCTGCCTCTGGAATTTGACAGAAGCACGACCTTTTTTTTTCTTTTTTCTATTATTTTTTCTAAACTGCAAGTATCAAGTTATCAGTGAGAGCTGGCTTTGCCAAGTAAAGCAGGATGTGCTGAATTACATGTTATTCCATGGCATGCATTAAAATCCATGGTAGGGTAGTGATGGCTGCTGCTGGCTTTGTGACCAGCTGCTGGCTGCTGTGGCTTTTGACTTGTGCGCTTTACTGCACATGCTGTTAGAGGGGCTCATCCCTTTGTCTGCTGACTTTCTCGTCTTTTTCTTGTACTTGGTCAGTCTTCTGTGAATTGAATTCAAAGAACCTTGGAGTATCAACCATAATCGTGTGAATGGCCATTAAAAGCTACTCTCTAAGGTCCTTACAGATGCAGTGAGATTAAAAGGTTTAAGTACTACATTAGGATATAGGGAGAATGAGATACAGGGCACTTGAGCCTTGGAAAGGGGGGAGGTGGAGTGACAAAGTATTGGTTGTTGCTGCTCTCTGGATTATGCCTTGTCATTGTATTCCATGTTGCTTTCCTGGTTAGTAGTTTGGATGGAACTGTTACTAGTGTTATGTCTCTGCTATTTTCCTTTTAGACACTTGAAAAGGTGGGAGTTAGAATAAAAAGGGTAAACTTGAACAAGATGATAGTCAGGTCATTCAGATTTGGAAAATTAGATTGAGCCTTTTGCAATTGTGATCAAGAGGCCTTTGTCAACTTGTGTCTTCAATTTCAAAGGAAGTAGGAGTTAGTATCCCACAGATCACAAGCACCTTCAAAGTCTGACCATGCTCCATGACCAAGTTTCTCTTAACTGGTAGTTTTTAATGCATTGTCTAAGCTGTAAGGGTGGGAGGAAGATATGCCAGTTACATCCCCAATTAGGCCACACCAGACTGGTGGCACATAATGTTGTTGGTTTTCTTTTTGCCAGGTGGTCATGAGAATTTTTCCAAAATGATTGATGAGGCGGAAGTGCTGGAGTTCCCTATGGTGGTGAAGAACACGCGGGGTCATCGAGGTGGGTGTGAGGTCAGGGGTTGAGGCCAAGGAATGTTCTGAGCAGCACTCTAAGATTTGGTCTCATCAAGGAATGATAGTTAAGAAGGTCTTCTGTTAGGTGCTGGACTTCTTTCCAGTACATATAAATTTTATCCCACTTTGACTTCTGAATGTTGAATAGACTGCAACACTGGGAAACAGCTTCAGTAGGGCCTAGTCTTGCAGTAGTGTGGGGGGAAAGGGGTTCAAAATTATGGTGCATTGGTGACTTCTGTGGGGAAAGCTTCGAACTGGAATAATGGAAGGTCGGGCCTTAGGAAAATAGAGAGAAGTCTACATGGATTTTAGGGATGCTTTTAAATAGGCTTAAGAAATGAAATCTCAGTTCATTCAGTGACTTTTTTTCTACTTGACTTTGTTTGTAATTAGGATTCTAATTTAAATAAAATCTTACGTATTGTTTGTCAAACTGGATCTCTGTTTTTCCGAAAAATACCTCTGACAGTGCCAGTGGTATTACAGCAGGTTCAGATTAGATTTTTCCTGTTATTAGTCTTTTATTTTAACTATTGGATATGAAACAACACATTAACTTAATTTAGTGTTAGATAGCGATCTACTAAAGGAAAATAAGTATGAATCAATTTCAGAGGTTATTTGCACAGGTTGTTGCTCTGTTCTTAATATACTTTAAAACCAATTAAAAAAATACTAGAAATATAAACAGACTAAAAATGAAGTTTGAGCACATAAACCAGCAATTGCCTTAAACAAAATCACAACTAAAAGACAACACTTCTTCCTTCTTATTGTGTGTCAGTTTGCTGCCACTCTATGCTGCTCTGGTGCATCTCTTCTGCTGGCTTGAGTGCTTCTGTAGTAAATGGAATCAGGAACTGATGCTGGATGAATCTAGATGGGTTATTTTTACTTAGATTAATTCCTTACATGACTTAGCACTTACTCGTACAAATGCTTGTCTTGGTGTAATGGAAGAGTGAGAACAAAATGGTGGGGCTGGGGAAGATGAGACCTGCTTATCTTGGTGGTAACACCACTTTGGTTTTAAAAGTGTGTGTGGAGCTTTAAAGCCAAGTTGGAGTTTGATTTTGCAGCAAGCTGAATTTCACAACTGTAGAATATCTGAGACAGTGGATTTGACTTGACACTGCCTCTAGTTAAGATCTGTAAAATAATGATAGTTACAGCTATTGACTTCCTTCTCCTTTTTTTAGCTAGGATACATGTAAATCTGTTTACAAGTTTTGCTTTTAGAGCACTTTAAATTCCAGGCATTCTAATGCAAATTTATGCACAGTACATATCCTTTCACATTAAGAGAGTTGAGGAAACTTTTTCACATTAATTGAAGAACAGCCACTTAGAAATGGCATTTAAAATAAACAGGCAAACATGGTCATAGGTACTGGTGGATGAATAAAAGTAATTTTAGCTGTGTTTTCTGTGCAATTTGCTGCTGCAGCAAATGTGCCAATCTTATTTTTGCCAAGATGTTGTGATGCTGCATAATTCCCAAGAACTACGGAGTTTCCCTCCATGGCATCATTCTTCCTATTTAGTTTCAAGAATGCAGTAGGATTATTAAGTGCCTGTAAGAGACATAAAGCTTGGAATAGGAGAAAGGAGAAGAGAAAGCACATGGAGGTTTTTGCTGTCTTGTCATGATTTTTAAGCTTACATTCTCATTTCTCTGTAATGAGAAATTCTGTGTTCCTCAAGCAATGTTCTGTGTTATGGAGACCTTAAATCCTGACTAAAGAGGCTGCCCCAGTTGAGCTTTGGAGCACTTGGTGGAATTCTTTACATATTATTTCTCCTCCTTGTGCTACCGCTGCATTTCCGTCGCCTTATTTAAGATAAGCAGTTTATCAATTTATTTTTGTACTCTGTTAACATTGTGACATAATTTGAATGACAGTTCTGCGACAAGAACTGTGCAGCCCTATTGCAAAACATAAGTCTAATATGACATAGAAAGAGCCCTTAGGAAAGGGGAAAAGGAGTTGGGAAATGTAGCTAAAGGTGGGAAGGAATGCAGTCTTTTAAGATGAGAAATGAGGTGGAAATTGGTCTGTTTCAGAAGTGACTTTCATCAGTATTGGTAAAATTGGGAAAGAACAAAGAAGTCTTTGGTGTGCTCTAGAAGGGAAGGAGAATGAAATGACATATTTTAGGTTAAAAATTCCAAGTCCTAGAGGTGTTGCTTGCAGAAAAGGTAATGATTTCTGAAGAGTTGTTTTTCGGGGTTTTTTTTGTAAATTGTAGTATATTCCATTCATTTCATGTCTTGTGGAATCCACTAAATTATCTTGGATACTGTAGTATTTTCCTCTGAATGTAGTTGTTCCACTGCAGAACCTCATTCTGGAATTGTAAGCCTTTGTAGGTAATGGGAAGAGCAGCATTCAGCAACTTCCCAACAGGGAAGTGGTTGATTATGCAGTGGCACACTTGTGGCTTCAGAGTTTTTAGTTGCCCAGTGTTTAACAGTTTCATGTTGTTGGTTCCTGTGTGTCAAAGCTGTAGGTTGTGGGTCCAGTCCTCTTGGATGAATAAAATTGTTATTAATTAAATGTCTGCTGCTCTTTAAGTATTTCTTCCCTTTTTTCCTCTCATTAAGGACTTGTACCAAAAGGAGTAGAAATTGCAAGACCACCTCCTTTATCTACAAGTTTTTCTTTTTTCTTTCTTTTTTTTTTTCTTTTTTTTTTTTAACTCCTCACATGTCTCCTCAGCTCTGTCAGCAGCACTTGAACACTTAAAAGCACTGCATCGGTGGAACACTGTTGTCCATGGCAGAATTTGTAAATGGGTATATGGGTATATGGATGGGGCCTCTGAGAACAGGCAGCATGCTGGTCAGAGGTTTTACTTTCATGTGCTGAATCACTGATGCAGCTCAAATGAGTAGCTGTTTACAGTCTTCTGATGTTCTTTTTCTCCGTACAGGTAAAGCTGTGTTCCTGGCACGAGACAAGCACCATTTGGCCGACCTAAGCCATTTGATTCGTCATGATGCCCCTTACTTATTTCAAAAATACGTTAAAGAGTCCCATGGCAAGGACGTACGTGTCATCGTAGTAGGAGGCCGTGTGGTGGGCACCATGCTCCGCTGCTCAACAGATGGGAGGATGCAGAGTAACTGCTCACTTGGTAGGAAAAGCACTGTTCGTAGTTTTGGTCAGAATTTTTCAATCCAGCTGAAAAATCACAAAGCCAACTGAAATAACCTGCAGGTTTTATTTTGTATTAATTGCGTTTACTGCTGGGGGCTTGCAGAGGGAACATAAGAGTAGGGATTAAGTAAGATGCATGTTGAGCAGACACAGAGGGAGAGACATTCTCTGCCCACAGTATTAGATGGATAGGATGAATGAAAAGCAGGGGAAAGTTCTGGAACACAAATGGAGCAACTGATGTGGTAGTGGCAGTTTCACGCTAATGCCATGTTATCATTTGTTCCATCCTGTTGAGAGGAACAGAAAAAGAAGGAAGACAGAAAGCGACACTTAAGGGAGGTGGAGGAGAGAGTTGGCAAGAGGGTACAAGAGAATGTTAAGAGAGGAAACTGTTGAAGGCAATAAACAGTTGGATTGCATTGTGCATCTTCTGTGCTACCTTAAGTCTGTCAAGTTCCTCTCTGCAACCTCTTCCCTCAAAGACCGTATGTGGAAGGAAGAGGAGGTTACTGCATTGATTGTAGCATACTCAGAACTGAGACTGCATAGCTTTGGACACAGGATTTATGAAGGTAAAAGGAGGAAGGAGTGTTGAGGTTGCCTGACTAAAACTGTACTGAACCTGAGCAGGGTTAGGATAAAATATGTTCATGTGTAGTACAGTTTTGGTTAGTCAAAATGCCTGAGAGGTTTTAGTTACTACCTGATGCTGAGGAAATGTAGCCTGAAAGATTTTTCTGCTAAATATTTTTTTTTTTTGTTATTGTTGGGGTATTTTTTTAACTTAAGTATTGTGATAGATGAAGTCTGAGTCAGTTAATACTTAGATGATGGACTGTTAACTGGACTGGCTGAGGTTCAGACACAAATGATCCCTAGTTCTTGCTTTAAAGGCAGTAACCTGTGATGACAAGTTGAGAGGGGACATAATAAGTAGACGACGTCTTAACCCCCACTCCCCTCAATTATATTTGTTAGAGCTGAAGTCTTATCAAGAGCTTGTGACAACTTACAAATATGTAGGGAAAGCCTCTACCTTAGAAGGAACAAGTGTGGTTTTCTAGTTCATTTTTTTTAATATCCTGGGATCATAAAAATGTGTGATACTTTTTCTGGACTAAAAAGTCATCACTTAACTGCTTTTTAAACAAGTCATAGTCTTGACCTGCCAAAGGCAGGTCAGAATATTTTGAAATCCTCCTGTGGCTTCAAGTTCATTAGTAGTCACAGAGGAAAAGGAGGTTGATTTCTGAGTCATCAGCAGTCTGCCTGCAGGCTCACTTTGGAGCTTCCCAACAGAAAAGTTCTAACCAGTTGAGAAGGATGTCAGTCACCCATGACCAGAGTACAGACAGCAAGTTTTTTTCACTTTTTCCAGGTGGTGTAGGAATGATGTGCTCACTGAGTGAACAAGGCAAGCAGTTGGCAGTCCAAGTGTCAAACATCCTGGGGATGGATGTGTGCGGCATTGACCTGCTGATGAAGGACGACGGTTCATTCTACGTCTGCGAGGCCAATGCAAATGTAGGTTTCATTGCCTTTGACAAGGCTTGTAATTTAGATGTAGCTGGTATCATAGCGGACTATGCCGCTTCTCTGCTCACCCCCGGCCGCTTGACGCGGCGCATGTCCTTGCTCTCTGTGGTGTCCACGGCAAGCGAGACTAGCGAGCCAGAGCTGGGCCCTCCAGCTAGTGCCGCTGTCGACAATATGAGTGCTAGCTCCAGCTCTGTCGACAGCGACCCTGAGACCACGGAGAGAGAGTTGCTCACCAAGCTCCCGGGGGCTCTATTCAACATGAACCAGCTATTAGCCAATGAGATTAAACTCCTGGTGGAGTGATGCCACGTGTAAATAGATGACCAACAGAACTCTCTCTTGTAAATTTTTTTTTTAAGCCAACTTGCAATGCTGTTTATCAGAGACGCTCAGAGGAAATGAGGAAAGGGGGTGGGTGTGTCAGTCAAGAGAGCAAGAGTAAAAGGCACACGTGCTGTGATTGCTGTCCCTACCTTTTTGCAGAACATTAAATTGTCTTCATTCGTCAGCATCAGCTTTACAATAAAGATGTTCAGTTCATAACCAGGCAGCAGATTTATTTGAATGCTGCTTTGGTCCCCAGATATATTGCAGTTCATGTGTCTTCACAGGCAAGCATTGAAGCATGATTCACACTCGAAGATTTTCAGAAAGTTGTCTGGCAGCTCTCTAGAAACTTCTGTGAATTACTGCACCAATAAAGTCTCTTCTACCTCTGTAAGGCTTGATCCTGTAAATTGCTGAGTGCCTCAAATTCTTTATGTGAGTTGAAGGTGTTAAATACCAAGTATTTCAAAATTCCTGGACACCTACTTTTCCTACTCTTGTAAGTGGGAGCTGTAAGTTCAGGATCCTTTTAAAGTCATCACTTTCTGACCTTGCAGGATATGGCCTTTCAAATGATGAGGCTGAGAGAAGCGTCAGTTGACTTAACAAGAACTTTCTGTAAAAGTCTGTAAATTGTACCATCTTGGTATTAAGTGGCAGCTTTGTGTCTAAATTTCTTTATAAAGCTTTTGAAGGAGGATATTAGTACTTGTGTTTTTCTCATTTCAAATCCTGATTTTGGAAGGTATCTAGGAGAATTAGTCATATTCTATTTGTGGGCAGAAATGGCACGTTTTAACTATTTTTTGCATGGTTGGAGGAGATAAACAGCACTGTAATGTTTGGTATACAAAATGATGTTTAATCCAATGTGAAAATGAATTACACTAGTTTAAAGCAAACGTGCATCGACTTGTATTTGTTAGTGTTTTAGTCTTTCTGAGAGAGATCTGCAATGTTAATGTTCCTTTTTCTTTTAATACATGCTAGTCCAACACTCCCTTCTCTATGCCTGCATCTTTAACAGTGGCCAAAGTGAAAACACCGCAGACTGTTTGTTAAGAAAACACTGAGATATAGCCTGTACATTGTTGGGGTTTTGTTCATTTGTTTTTATTTTTCACTTTTTTTCGGAGGGAGGAATGTGGTAAGGCGTGGAGGAGGGAAGAGCTGGTTAAAAGTGATTAGTCGTTCAGAGGAACTTTAGAATAAAGCAGTTCACACAATACGTACCAGGCTTACTTTTTCCCCACTGAACATAAAAGCTGATGTTGGCAGAAATCCAAAGAGTATAACTGGGGAGAAATACTCAGTTTGTAGCTTTGGGAAAAAAACGCGTTAGATTTAAAAAAAAAAAAAAAAAAAAAAAAAGAAAAAGAAAAAAAAAAAAAAAGAGGGAAAATCCTCAATTTAAATAAAAGAAAAAAAATAAAAGAAAAAAGTATATAACCTAGGTCCACAATCAATCAACAGATTGATCCTGGACCCTTACATGTGTGTGGTGTGAGTGCACACACTTGTGTGTGTTTGTGTGCACGCGCATTTGTTTTGCTTGATTTCTTTTGGGGTTTTGGCTGTTTAGCTCCTAATTTTTTTCCAGGCTTCCTGATTTTCCCTAATCCTTCTGGCTGTGCATTTTCTCATTAGCCTTGAGCTGGTTTGGAAAACAAATAACCAAAACAGATACTGAGCTCATTTTTCAGTCCTTGTCTTCCTCCTCCTTTTCCTCCTCCTTCTCCCTTTTCATTCCCCTCTTATTCTCTGGGTTCATAAAACCCTGGAACTATAGATATATATAGAGAGATAAGCCTCTTTTTTAAAAACATAAAGTAAAACGTTTACAATTGAAAAATAATCTTGTGAAAATAGGTTTTGTTTGGAGGGGGGTTGTGTGTGTGCAATGCTGCTGTTTTCTGGATACTTTAATGGAGCATGTCCCATGTACCCTCTGAGGTTCTGCACTGCCCACCTCTGTGGCCCTTCCTCACCTCTCTGCTGCTCTGCTGTTTTATCTTCACTTGGACCTTAAACACAACTCACGGACACTATGCAGAGAGTCTTCAAGAGGCAATAAACAGAACAGTATTAACCTGCTTTATGGAGGTTTGATCATGCTTCTTTGTACAGTTTGGTTTTTTTATTTTAAAAGGAATGTAATAAAATGGCTTTTTTTTTTTGTAGAATTAAATATTATTATTAAAATCAAGTGAAAGGTTGACTGTTGATGTTAAGCAGGAGAGTGGACCGGCTGGTCCAGCAAAAAAAGGATCTTCAGCAGTAAAGGTATTTTCAAATCCTTACTGAACCTTCAAGTGCGCAGGTTATACATGAAGAATATAAAGGTCTTCAACTTCCATGAAGAGTTGCAGAACCACAGAACATGAAAGAAACCTAATTCACTAGTAATTGAGCTCTAGTCACTGAGCAGTAAACTGTCTCTTCCAGAGACTCTTTTTCCTTTGCTTGTTTATCTAAAGGGAATTTCGGATGGGGGTGGGGGTGTTTGTTCTTTTTTTTGTCTGTTTACTGGTAGGTGCCTCTACTCCTCTAGGAACTGATAGGGTCAATCCTTCCCTTTCCAGCTGTGTCATACTCTGAGCACATGCGGAATAACAGCAGGGAGTAAACATGTGCTAGTTGGTGTAATGGGACCTCTGTGTTTCTATCACAGGAAACATCTTTTAGAGAAAGGAGCTGGTAACTGAAGGTTCTGGACTGGGTTTTTTGAGTCTCCATAGTATTTCGTGGCTCACAGGAACCTTACATTTCTATCACCTTTTTAGAAAGTCCAGGTTACACCTCACAGTTGTAAAATTTGTGAAGTAAAAATAAGATTTTTTGAAAGACCTCTCGTTGGTGCTTTCGTTGCTAGCTTGGAGATAAGTCTATGCATAGTGGTCACAGAGGGAGACAGGATTTGAAACATCATGTACATTTGTTTGGACACTGGGTATTGATGCTGCATGAATACCTTGCTCGAGGGTTCATTGATACAAATGGGCACACTTGTCTCATGTATTTACTCCCTACTTACCTCCTGAAATAGTGAAATGCATAGAACTGCCTGGGGATGCAAAAGAAGTGTCTTGTTTTTACTTGAAGGAAAAAAAACACCAACAAATCTAGCCCATGGTAACCAGGCAGTGTTTCCCACTGAAGGTGAACTTTACAGATGTCAGCTTTATATCTTCTTCAGTTCCCTGTGCTGAAAATCACATGCTAAACTTTCATACAGTTGCACTAACACTACCTCCATATGTGGGTTTGGAAGCATGTGCTGAAAAAATGGTCAACACAGTGGTGGTTACAATAGTGCCAGTACAGCTGATGGCGATACAGCTATTTCTGTGTATTTTAATCTTTGAAAGAGCCAGCTAGAAACTCTTGTTTGCAAGAATAAGTTTCTTAATCTACATGGGATCAAATTTTGTTCTTTGTAACACTGGAGATTTTCTTCTGTTGAACTTGCTGTATTTATAATTAATGTGTTACTATGTCAATGTATGGATTGTATCTTAAGCCTTGTATTCAATGCTTTAATGTGTTTTATAAAATCTTTTCTTGTAATGTTAAAACACCTCATCTGTAAAACAATGTCAGTGCTTGATGCTTATATTGACTGTTAATGTTTTCATTCTGAGCTGAGGTCACTCTTGAAGCAATTTCTCCACTTCATGTGCTATCTTTGTGTGATACTTACTCAGGAGATAATCTCTGGAACATCTGTGTATGTCAGGCGCAAAGGAGATACTTCTTCAGGTGCTGTACAGGACTACAAAATCCAACAAATGAAACCAGTGACTTTTGCTAAATATTTTCTCCCCTTATTGCAAAAATCTGTCAGTTAAATACATAAGGGACCATAAGGGCTTAGAGAGACTTTGAAAGCAGATCACATGTACAGTATCTTTCTCATGGCTCACTCTTTTTGAGAAGGTTTATGGGCTTTATGGCTGGTGTGAGACACACGACCCACTCCTGTTCTCTCTATGGAATAGTAGGTGCTCGGACAGGTAACTTCTGTTGCTACTGTCTTTTTTAATTTTTAATTTTTTCACTGCTCTAGGAATTGTTTTAAGCTGTACACTGCAGGATTTATAACCAGGTGTTTGCTGCCTTTTTCTTTGTTTTATTTCGTTAAACCTTTCTTAACCTTTGAGAGTGACTTTTGGAGCATTCTGATGGTGGATCTTGGCCTGCTGTTAGAAGTCTTCAAACCTCTCATGTTTCTAATTTGAGTTGAAAAGTTTTTGTTTTGTTTATTTGTTTAAAACAATGACACAAATTGGATGTGAGGATTTCGGGTGGGATTTGTTGTTGCTCTGTTTTGTGTGACTTATTCTACCTTTTTTTACAGAAATGTGTTCTAACAGTTCACACTTTGTTACTGTTCTTTGCAAAACTTTTCAGGAGCCAAAAAAGTCAAACAATCCAGAGAAAACCCCTTCTCCCCTTTCCGATGGCAAGAGTGAGAACTTATGAAAAATCCTTGAGAATGTTCCTTCCTAAACTTTTCCCCCCAGTAATGCAAGCGGGTAAAATGGTAAACGCAGCAGTTTGGTGACATCCAAAACCGACCTGTTGTCAGGTAAATTGAGACTTTTCTGCTCTTACTGTAACCTTCATAAATTTGCTAACTTGTCTGCCTTCCTTTCTTCCCATCAGTTCATTTTGGTGAAACTTGTTGAATGATTTCTTTAACTGTGATGTTTAGAGAAAATCCTACTTTTCTTCCTCGATTTCCCTCCTTATGCTTGTTGACCTTTAAAAAAACTGTCATTGTCCTTTGCTTTACTCAGGTAAGACAGAAGTGAGTCCCCTCATGTGACTGTGTGAGGAGTAGTTTTGTAATACATTCATTCCACTTCTTTGTCAGTTCAAGGTAGTTTGCCTTCAAGTGTACTATTTTAGCTTAGATTTTTGAAAGGTATGTTGCTTTCCATTTGCCAAATGAACATAAAATATAACTGCATCAATTAGGAGTTGATAGATTTGAAAAACTAGTGCTAAGAATGTTAAATCTATTAAAATTCAATAGAGCAGGATCCAGTTAAGAGGACAGATGGAAGAATACGTGTGCTGAAGAAAAAGACTGTTGGGTTGATTATTTCTGTTTGTGGAGGATGGGGGATATATTTTATGTTGTCCTTACTGCTATATCAAAGCACTTGTACATTTTATCCTTCTCTGGTAACTCAACTCCCTGAATCTCAAACCATGTGAAACTGCTGGGTACTTAATATTCTTTTACTTCTTTTAAGGAGGATAATCTTGTATTTTACTCAGATGTAAATATCAGACAATTGGAATACCATTCCAAGTTGAAGAATATGAGCCTACAGACAGGCTTCCAAGTTTCCAAATGCAGTTTTCTATTTCCCATGACATCTGTAAGGAATTAGCACTTGTTTCAGATTATTTTTCTGTGTATGCTAATAACTCCTCTATACCGTAATAAAATAGTCTACTTTTTGTAGTCTCAATTTATATTTTCCTGATACACAGTAAATTTATCAGCAATACCATAAACTGCAGCTTCAAATTAAGGTGGGAGGGAATAATTTTATAGCCAAATTTTGCTCTCAATTACACTGAGATAAACCTGGAATCACTCTGTGAAAGTCAGTGGAGTGATATCCAATTTCACTGGTATAATTGAGTGTATAATTTGTGTCTTTAATTTTACTTGCAAGATAATTTTACAAACCTGTTATACTTATGTTTCCAATGCTTTTTCCTTTCAGACACACCCACTTCTTGCGTCTCAGCACTGGGCAGGCCTATTCCTTTATTTGTGTATATTTTTGTGCATCAACTGCTATAGGACACGGGTGTAACACTTTCAGGCATGTGGTTGGGTGTCTTTTTGGGGTTTGTAATAATGTCTAAAAATAAGAATTTCTTTTCCTCAAATTTATTAATGAATTCATGTTGGATCACAGTTTTGCATCTCTAACCTGATTTTAGATACATATTAAGTAGAGATTGTCTTGAAAGAAATACAGATCTTTGGTGGGGAGAGTTGATAAAAATGTACTGCATTCTGCAGAAATTAATGTTTTGGTATTTAATGTTTCTTGAAAGGTGGTTTTACAGATCATGCTCCTTCCTCTTCATGGAATGGCTTTCAAAGCCTTGTATTGATCTTGGTTTTGCCCAGTGCTTTGCCTAGTGTATGGGGAAATGTTGTAGAACTTGAATAGGCCATGACATCTTAGACAAAGGATGATGATTATGTGCATGCTGAACACGAACTTCTTCTATATGCCCTTCTGCTGCAACAGAATAATAAAACTGGTAGGTGGCAGCAGCAGCAGCAGAAGAAACTCATGACTGTGACCTGAGAAACCTCCAGTACTGGGAGAAATGGATTGCAAAATACTAACTGGAGTAAGGGGAATGGAGGAGAAAGGCAGAGTCCCTGAACTGTCCCTTTGAATGGTGAGTCTAATTTACAGAATTCTAACCATCAAAAGACTGCCTGTAGCACAGTAGGCACACTGACCTATCTGATTTGGTGTTTGGTTACCTGATATCCTAATTCTCATCTTTGATTCAACATTCCAGTTTCCCGTCTGCCTCTATAAGGCATAGTATATATCTTAAAAAATTAAACTTCACCAAAATTGCCACATCTTTCGAGTACTGGAAAATAAGGCTGGAAGGAATTTATCTAGCCCATCCATTCTCTGCCTCACAGGACGATTAATTATAGTTGTGCCATTGGTGAAATTCTAGTTTTAACCTAGTTTAAAAACCAAAGAATAATTGGGCCTATTTGCCCCAAAACGCCTGTAACCTATTGCTTCTTAGCATATTAAGCGATAGAGGTATATAATCTAAGGATTCTGCAATCTTTACCTGTGGAATTTTATTTTATGAAGGTAAAAGTATCCTTACTGTCAGCCAGCAATCAACCTCACAGGCTCAGAGCTCATATGCTTTTTTGGCTACTTAGAGAGCACCATATAGATGACATGATAGAAGCCTGAGAAGTGCCATGATAGTAAAGAACAATGTTCTTTATGGAGACTTCCTATATCTCAAGGCAGGAAAAAAAGGTTTGGATCACCAACAGTTAAAATTCCTTTTGGAAGTGGGAAATACAAAATATATAATGTTTATGACTTAGTGGATAACAGCTGATAGTTTCAACCACCTCTTTAGTTACCTAGACCCATGACTCTGAAACCTGTTGGATTGCACATCCCTATCAGAAAAAAAAACGTTTTGAGCATATATTTATGCTCAAATATATATTTTTTAGAAGTTATATTCATGGTTTGCTACATACATTATAAAACTTACATAAAACCAAGAAATTAAAACAGGATGAGATAAAGATGAAGACTATTTAAAACATTTACTTAACTATATTTATTAATGGTGAAAAAATATTTTCGCCCTGCAGCCTTATGGATTGTCTTGAATCCCTCCCTGGGGAAGGTGCACTCCCCTTTATGGACCACTGATCCAGACATCATAAAATACTTACTGTTGCAGCTGTCATTAGTATGTTCCACCATAACAATACCTCCATTTTGAGTAAGTCTCCTACCAGAGATTAAAACGCTGACCTTTATTAGGATGACTTCCCTTTCTGAAAAGAAAGTAAAAGAGGAGAGAACAGCAAGATATGGAAGCACTGATGAACTATCTGGCATAGGAGAAATTTGAATCTGGATCAGCTGAAAATGCAGAGAAGCACGTCCAAGTGGATTGGGAAAAAAAATTGTGTCCAGAATATATACCAATATGCAGAATAGACCGATCGCTTTTGTACTTTCATAAATGTTTCTTAGTTCACTGACAGCTGAGTATTAGTTGATAAATTCAAAGTTCTGTTTCCTGTTGTTACATGGGGTTACACTAAAATCAGAAACAGTGCTTATATGCAAGAACTAAACTGGATCTGAATTTTGATAGCCAGGCAACTAAATACTCTCCAGTGCACATCAGGCACCACTTAGGACTGTGGACAACTGGTATGCTTTTCTCATTAGCTTCTAAGTTATCATACAGCCTTTGAAAGTATTATGTGGACTACAGGCTGGAAATCCCAGAACTGAATTACTGCAGAGTGAAAGGAGATTGCATGTGCTAAGTGGAAAATATTTTGTATGGAGAATTGATTAAACCCTTGTTATATATGATGAGCAAAGTCTGTATGTGAGAAGAAACTCATAGGGAAAGGGGTTTAGATCTGGTCAGGCTTGAGAAGTGAAGAAGAGAAAGTAATTTCTGGTAGTAGAGGCAAAGGAGTCTGAAGCCTGTGTCAGTCTGTCATCAGAATAGAGATGAGGCAGGGAAACAGTTTTTGCTGATATTGAGCATTCTCAGCTGCTTTTGTAAGGAGGAATCTCACCAGAATTTCTGTATATAATATATGCTAAGGATACTAACCTTTGCGAGCTGAATCTCAAGGAGAGCTGAAAGTTCCGTTGATATGGAAACTAACTGTAGTGCTTGCCTACTTGAATGGATGGTCATGTGGATTAAAGGTGTTACTGCACTGAGTTTAGATGACAGTAATATTTGGGAAGAGGGACCCTGAACATGGCCCTATTTGCCCCAATACACCTGTAACCTATTGCTTCTTAGCATATTAAGCGATAGAAGTATATAAATGTATCTAAGTTTTTTTAGTGAGCAAGGTGACTTAGAGTCAACTGGTCAGGAAAGGATTATTTTTTTTGTATAAACAAAAAGGCATTTAGAATACTGTCTCAGATCCGCCACGTTTCTGCATGTGGCTGTCAGTACAAAGGGTTTTGGTTTTTTTTCTTTTAGATGTGACATAGCAAAGCATCCTGTTTTCTGTATCTTTGATATGGCAGAGATTTGAAGCAGAATATTTTCTATTCTTGTCATAGACTTGCACGGGCAGGCAAGGGGGGTGATACGTATGTGAAAGAAGGGACTGGATAGGATCCTCACACTGACTGAAAGCAAGATGATGGATTAGGCTGACAGAAAAGTTAACATTTACATTGCACTCATGCAAGGCATTTTCAAGGTATTTCTGCATCCTTCTTTTGTTCCCTTTAGGAACAGTACAAGTGTTACTAGAATATACAGAGTCTGCACAGTAATATGTCAGCATATTAAGCTCTGCCAAGTCTCTGTGCGAGAAGGGCTTATAAAAGATTTATGTGAATTTCTGTGTGTCTGCTTTTTTATTTGGAGGCAGTTTGCTGTATGCAGCTACATACAGTACTCTTTCTTAGGGTAATAGATATTTTTGGTTAGTTTGGAAGGAGAGGAGTGTGCTTGGGGAGTTGAATATGCCATTCTATTATCCATTTCTATAGGAAGCAGAATGGTTAAGGGAGAGCAGTTACTGTGCATAGGAACTACACAACTAGTTATATCCCAAGTCTGGTGTCAGTCGAGTAGTCACTGATGTTGCTGGGGAGAAAGCTTTTTGGTTTATCTTTTAATAAGAGCAGACAAAGAAGCATCTGAGAAAGAACTTTGAAAGTGTTGCATACACTGAATTGCATCTTTATCTTCTGTTGCCATTTCTTTTTGCTTTCAGAACTCCTTGATGTGCTTCTGTACACATCTTTTACCAAAAAAAATTGCCTTCTGAAATGTCAGTGGTGCGTAGGGCTGAGATTGGTTGAACAGGGTGTGGAATATAGGTGTGGAGTGCTCTCTAAGAACAGTCAGCTGTGCTAATCTTGGCCTTGTCTGAATGGGAACAGAGAGTAGAAGTCTAACATAGATTTTGCTGAGCTGTATGGTTTTATTGCAATATACACAGTAGTAGCAGAAGTGTTTGTCAGTAGTGTCCTCTGTGTCTGTAGACAGTGCAGTTGCTTTTGCTAAACAATGAATTTTTAAATTTCCCTCTTCATGTAATGCTTTTCATTTTCCCAAGTACAGGTACTGTGTTATGTTAATCTGAGGTTTAATGTAATATGATATATATACAGTTTTCCAACTCAGGACTGAATTTTTGTGTTAGACAAGTTGCAATATAATTGAGATTTTTCATACATGAATGGAAAAGAAATTAAGTTTTATTAGAGGTCATTGGATTTTTTTTCAATGAAGTGTTCTAATTGGAAAAAAACTAATTTCACAGAATCACAGAATCAGTTGGTGTAGGGAAGACCTCTGAGGTTGAGTCACAACCTTTGAATGAACACTACCATGTCAACTAGACCAGGAAGTAAGTGCCATGTACAGTCTTTTCTGGCATGATGACTCCGCCACCTTCCTGGGCAGCCCATTCCAATGCTTGACAACCCTTTCTGTGAAGAAATTCCTCCTGATGTCCAACCTGAACGTAATTCATTGTTGTAAAAAAAAAAAAAAAATAATTTATCACAGTCATGAATTTTCAGGCATATATACTAATTTCCAAAATTTATTGGGACAATCCCTCTTGTACAGATTAGCATTTGTTGTTAGAGAAGGAGGAAAAGTCCATATTATTTTAGCCAGTAACCCAAAGCTACCTCTTTGGCCAGTCATGCATTTTTTCGATGCAGATTTCCTGGAAGCAGTGGTACTGCTGAGCTTCCTTGATGCTTAGTTTCACTGTGTTGTAAAATACATACATTTTGGAGAGAGAAGAACTGGAGAGGTGAAAATTGTACACAGTGTTATGTGGACTGAACATGAAGGTGCAATGAAGCAGAGAGAGAAGACTAAGCAGTAGCTGTATACACAGGTGTTCTTTTCATTCTATCATATCAATGTAGTGGGAGGCCAGGAGTGAAGAGGAATGTTTCAGTTATGCCTTGATGAGGAATGGGAACCTCACATTGACTGTTTGTGCAACTGTATATATTTCACACCTGTAAATATTTCATTTACAAGAAGTCTGATTTGCCCAAGGATGTGTGTGCAGGTTCCCTTTCTTGCTGCTACTGTGCAAAGCACTGCCTGGTAGTCTTTATTCTCCGGATTTTTTCTGTTCAATGGTGTCGTGCATTAAGTCTGAAACTTGTATTTTGAGAGTTTCAAGAGGAAACTTGGTCTGCTTTTGTGTATATTTTCCCATGCATCTAACAAACACAAGGCCAGCAGAAACAACACAAATGTTATGGTTGCTCTCCCCACCCATCTTTACAACAGTGTATGGGAGGAGTAGTGCAATTGTAATGTGATGTAGGAATACTTGTCCATGCCTGAATGGAAATGTTTGTTTACTGGATGGCAAATACTGAAGCTTTATCAGTGGGAGAACTAGGCAGGAAGAGTCTGCAGTTTGACTTTGCTAAACTTTTATACAATTTTTCCTCCACATGAAATATTTCCGCAGGAGTCTAATGCGTGTGAAAGATGCTGGATCACCAGTTGCAGAGATTGAACTCTACCTACTGGAAAGGTAACAGGAACTAGATTTTATCATTAGAACACAGCCTTCACTGCATCTCACTCCCTGACCTGGAAAGACCTTTTCCAAGGTCAGAAGAGGAGCTTGGTACCCATGGCTCAGTCCTTGGTGTGTCTGTAATGCAGCTATCAAGGAAGCCAGATAGGTGCTGGGTACAGAGATTTTTTTTATGATGTTTGCTTGAATTTCTGGTGTTCATATTTTGGGGCAAAGACTAACTTTTTCAATGGTTTATTTGTCTAGGTTTTTCTGCAGCAACAGGAGGTCGTCTTTTGCCTCTTATGGGGACATTTAGCCTTTTGATAATGCCTCCATCACAATGAAGGGAAGAAAGGATGGACCAGCAATGATGTGGAATGGAGTGGTGTCCACACATTAACAGTCATTATGATCCCTGTCCTAAAAACATGGAGAACTGAATAAAGAGTTGAATTGTAATTCATGAGAGTGTGAGGTTCTTTTTGGTATCTTCTGCACCATCTCCCCTTTCTGAAGTGCTGTCTAACTTCAGAAATCTATTCATCTTGTATCAAAGCTGCAGCTAAGCAAGAAAAGTAAAACCTGTTTGATATTTTTCATTATAGTGATCTTTTTTTCCTCCAGGAATTTAGTTCTAAAGTACTTTATATTGACATGAATAATCTTCCCAAATACCTTGGTAACTTTAGCATTAGGCCTTTGATGTTGTGTTATGACTTCACCTGAGTCACTGAGAATATAAGTCTTATGAGTTTTACAAGTAAAATCATACCATACTGATCATACTATTCTGATAGCTTTGATGACTGCTAGAGAAAAACAGAACTGCAGCTCAGTTAATCTACCAGAGATAATATGCCTTTGGATTTTGAAGCCACAGTGGCAGGGTTTGTTGTAGACATGGTCACGTAAATTCTTACTATCTCATTTCTGAAGAGAGCTAATCTTTCAAACCATAGGTTATAGATCTTGCACATGGCTCAATTGGTTTGTTGTTAGTGAAGCACTGTGAAGAATTAGATATATACTGATAGCCTTTCTACAATGTGCCTACTTGAAATTGTGAAGTAAAAAAGGGAATCAAGATACTGAGTTGGTACGTTATCAGTAAACACCTCTTGTCCTTCACATTCTTCCTCTTCATTTCATGGATATTCATTTCATGTAAATTTTAGTTCCTGTTTTCTGTATGCTTGTTCTAGTTGTTCACATGTGGATGGAAACTAGGAATGTGACTGGTACTTTGTCTGCAGCTATGCCTTTCTTCCAATAGCTGTGGTTGCTTTTTTTTGCAGATCTGTATGTTAAACTGTGCCTCTGTAGCACTCTGTTACCTCTGTAAGCAGGTGAAATGGCTGCCACTGCAGACTAGTGGCCATTTTATCTCTTGTGGTTCAGTGCTTGGGAGTGTGCTGATGCATATGCTAATGCTTCCATAAATGCTTTTGTGTCATTTTCCTTACTATTTAATGTTACAAAAGTAAAACAGCTGAGAATTTTCTGAATTCCTTCTGAGTTTCATATATCCTGTCTTACTAAGATAGTTCCAGGCCCTGTCTGTATTTCAGTTCTCTTACTTTCATTGCGGATGTTCAGCAGTGTTCTCCCTGCTCTGCTGCCTCAGGTTTACAGGTTTGCTCCTCCTGCCTTCATAGTCCAGAATGCCTTTTTTTTTTTTTAAGTTTCTAAATGCTCCTCCCTGCTTTTCATAGGAAAAGTCCCGCTCTTGTTTCTGCTCTTAACCACTGGCCCTTCTTGTTCTTGTCCGTGTCCCGAGTGCACACACACACATGTAGTAGCTTAAGAATATTTCTTACTCAGTGTCTATTACAGATAACCATTCTTTGAATTACTCTAAAGGTGTATTTTCCTCTTTTAGGGGGAGAAAGGTTTGGTTACTACACATTTCCTTTTGATATTTCACAGCCTGAAATGTGTTAGAAGTTAAATAGAAATTAAAAGAAGTTTATCACTGTGTAATGTCTTAGTGAGTGAGAGTCAACAAACTTTAATGTGGAGAGGATAGTTCCTGACTGTTGCACTCAATTGTCTGTCTTTGGTGAGAGGGATTGGTCCTGCAATCCATCTCTTCATGTACCTCACTTAAAAGCCCAAGTTCAAGAACTGTGGTCAAGATTATGTATATAACATGTAAAGTTTTACTTTTCTTTGCATTTCTTTTATTCCTTTGAATTTGTCCTTTGAATATGAATAATATAAAAAACTAAATAGTAATTGGATATTCATAATACTATATTTTGATATTATTTGTACAGTACAGTGAAAACAGTAATAATAGGTCTGTAATGATAATACTGACCTGTGCTGTGGTGGATAGGGAAGCCTGGTATAAACAGTTCCTTGTACTTCTTAATTGGAATTGTGCTTTTCTGCTGGCTACAGAAATGGAGTACTTGTAAAACTCTGCTCTGCTTAGTGTAATGAGATCTTGGGGTGGGGTATATTTGTACTGAGGCCAAACTGGCAGAGAGGTTGTAATTGTGTTTAGCTAGATCTGGAAAACCTCTGTAACTTGTCTGATCTGCATTCCCAGTTGTGCATGATGTAAGCAGACAGCTGTACTTCAACCACTGTCTTTATTTTTCTAGGTCACTTCCCTTATTTTTTGCTTTATCACTTTGGTTGCTTCTCCAGTCTGCTCTTTCCTTGACCAAACAACTTGATTTATCACTGTACATTTACCTCTAGCAGGGTCTGCAAAATCCAGGTATCAGCTTGGAACTGGACATCACATCACCTGCTCTTTGACTCTCTCATCCCATGTTGTCATCACTGCAATGTTTTCCAGATGTACTGCTTTGGAGGACTTCCTCTGCTCTGATGGTAATGTTGAGATAGGAGAGAGTGCACTGTGATGACCAGCTCACCTGGAAAGCCTCAAGGGAGGAATTCATGGGAGAGAGGCTGCTGCTGTGTGATTCTTTCCCCCCCCACTACCCTCCTTAATGTAGCTGTTGGTGCAGAGGCTTTGTCAGCAAAGCACATGCTAATGAGGTAAACCCTACTCTGCTTATTGGCATATGCACTTATCGTAGACATGGGCCAGCTGGGGAGATCAGTGATCACTGTGTCAGTACTGCTCCGCTCTTTCTCACTTTGCATATGCCTGGTACTGAGATTCAGCCAAGCTTCTTGGTCTCCTGCATGTTTACCCTGGTCTGCTTTGGATCTACTATCCCAGTTTATGGACGGGAGTTGAGTAATACTGGGCTCCAAAATCATGTTAAACACAGTAGGGAGAGTTTCTGTCAGAGATGGAGTTACAACTGCTCCATGTTTTTCTTCAGCATTTTAATTAAAAAATTCTGTTTTCTCTCTAAATCTTCCTTCTGATTCTGTCTCTCTTTTCCTTCCTAGAGAGAGCATATAGCAGCTACCAGAGCTGTCTGTGATATACCTACTTCTTCCCTACAACCCCCAAAATTCAGGACGAAAACATACAGAGGGATATAGTGATGTTCTTCCAAGAGAAAAGAATGGGATGCTGCTTTCTAGCATCCGCCATATCCATCCATGTTCAACAGCCTACAGTGCTTGTCTCTGTAACAATATGAAATTGTGACAGGAGGAAGCAAGGAAGGAAGGGACAGAATCCCTTAAAGCTGCGATGTCACTAATGGACCAGAGGTCATATCTGTGGTGGGGGTGAGGCAGGGTGGAGGACTTGGGCTTTTGGAGAAATAAAGAAACAGCCTCCGCAGTTTTCTGGTCCATTCTTTCCAGCCTTGTGGGCAGTGCTGAGTTACAGGGAAGAATACCTGCTTAATCTTGTCCATAACATCCCAGCACACAGCTTTCTGTGGTCCTATTTGCAAGGTAAGACTGAGGGAAGAAGTACTCTCAAAATCATTCAAAGCATTCTCTGCAGCCTGAATACTTTTGTGGCTTGGATTGGTGATCTTTCGTCTTAGCCCACTCTTAGTAATAGCTCATGTATTTTGAAAACAGCTGAACTTGTGAGCAGTGAATGGAAATGCAGAATTGCAGCCCAGTTATGAGACTTTACTCTGGAACAAGCAACCTCTGAAACGGGAGAGGAGGCCCAGTAGGGGATGGAAAGAAAGAGTATTTTCAGTATCTAAATTTCCAGATTTTGTTGGGAATGTGTGTGTAACTTTCCATTATAACACCAGTGGTAATGATTTCATCAACTGTCACATGAAGTCACTTTGTTTGGACGAGAGATGTTAAAGGAGTATAGCCTTGGTTAGATGCAGCTGACTGCTTGGTATAGTAGCAGAATGGTAAGAGAGGTTCATAAAGATTTTTTTTCTCTAAACTCTGTTCCTCCCATTGCTCTGTTGAGACACCAGTTAGCATAATGTGCATTGGTATATGACTTTTTTGATTGAATTTCCAAGGTTGACAGTTTTTAACTGTTAGTTTCTTTTCTGCAACTGAGCTAAGGCCTTGTGGTGCCTCTCACAAGACCAACCTTTGTTTTTAAGAAATCCGTATGTCTGTCACCTTGCCTGAAAGAGTGGGGAGGGGAAATGGAATTACATTTTTCTGCTCAGTTTCATTGGCTGAGGTTAAGGTCCCTTTGTGCCAGACTGTTTTGCATCCTCGCTGGTATGGAGCCCCTTCTCGTTTTTACACCGTCTGAGTTCGCTTTGTTTCCTTGGAAGTTTGGTTACTTATTGAGATGAAAGCAGCATTGAATGTGTGTTACTGTAGACTGTACAAAAAGATGAGCTTGCTCTGGAAAGCATATAGCCAAAGCAGATGACAAGGTGAAAGGACACAGGGAAACAGCATGTCAGTAATTGCTAGGTGTAACTCATCTGCTATGCAGTGACAGCAATCCATCATGCTGCAGAGTCTGTTGTATGGAAAGTTGCTAAAAATACCAAGGTTCTGTCTGTTGTCTGACTACTTTTCTTTGCATGTGTCCTGTTTATCAACCTCATATACAGAATTACTACCAGAGTCACACCACATTTGCAGGTAGAAGCTAAGGATGTCTCTTAAACAGCTGATGTTACATCCTGCAAACTGACAGGAAGGGCAGCAGTGACCTACCTTCCCAGGCTCAGTTGCACAGTTTTCCTTGTCACACAGGGAGCTCCCAGTGAGCTACGTGCAGCTGAAGTTGCCAGCAACAAAAGTGAGGATACAGTCACAGGAATTTAGTATTGAGTACCCTGAGCAGACCCACTTTCAATGACCAAAACTCACAAAGTCACATCAGGTCTCTGTGTTCAGTGGCAGCAAACTCTTCCATGTGGATTGGGCAGGAGTACAGTATAAGGGGAATACATGAATGATGCTCTGTGGGAAATTTTTTTAAGTGCTTGGTTTTGTCAGTGCCTCCTGACTTCAGAGGAAAAAGGAGCTCAAAACTTCTAACATGAGGCAGTAGCTGACTTTGAGCATGGGGAAGGGGAAGAAAAAGAATGTGTTCTTAAGGCATGCAAATCTTGCAAAATTGCTAGTCA